CTGTCTGGGCTGCCTAGTGCAGCAGTTGTCTGCCTGGACCGACTCTTCAACCTCAGGTGTGTATGTTCTCCCCTCCCCCTAGTGCTAGCTTAGGTGTTTTTTGCGTTGTTTGCCTAGCCCTAGTGGTTTTTGCTTAGTTTGATGTGTAAGGTTAGGGTTGCTTGCTCGTTCGCTGCACTGTTGAGGCTTTCAATTTAGCTGAGGGGTTGGCAAACTGTGCATTTGCTCGCGCACAGTTTGTTTTCTACTGTAGTGTTTTTTTTTAAATTATATTAAGTTTTGCTTTGCTGTTTTGCATACTGGCGCAGCTGGAGTCGTCACTGGTGCTGTGCTGGTTCTGTCTGGGCTGCCTAGTGCAGCAGTTGTCTGGCTGGATCGACTCTTCAACCTCAGGTGTGTATTTTTTCCCCTACCGCTAGTGCTAGCTTAGGTTTTTTTTGCGTTGTTTGCCTAGCCCTACTGGTTTTTGCCTAGCCTGGTGTGTAAGGTTAAGGTTGCTTGCTCGTTCGCTGCGCTGTTGAGGCTTTCATTTTAGCTGAGGGGTTGACAAACTGTGCATTAGCTCGCGCACAGTTTGTTGTCTGTTGTGTAGTGATTTTTGTAGATAATTTTAAATTTTGCAATGCTGTTTAGGCCACCGGAGCAGTAGGAGTCGTCATTGGTGCTTGGCTGGTTCTCTGTCTGGGCTGCCTAGTGCAGCAGTTGTCTGCCTGGACCGGCTCTTCAACCTCAGGTTTGTATGTTCTCCCCTCTCCCTAGTGCTAGCTTAGGTGTTTTTTTTGCGTTGTTTGCCTAGCCCTAGTGGTTTTTTCTTAGTCTGGTTTGTAAGGTTAAGGTTGCTTGCTCGTGCGCTGCGCTGTTGAGGCTTTCATTTTAGCTGAGGGGTTGACAAACTGTGCATTTGCTCGCGCACAGTTTGTTGTCTGTTGTGTAGTGATTTTTTTAGATAATATTAAATTTTGCTATGCTGTTTAGGCCACCGGAGCAGTAGGAGTCGTCACTGGTGCTTGGCTGTTTCTCTGTCTGGGCTGCCTAGTGCAGCAGTTGTCTGCCTGGACCGACTCTTCAACCTCAGGTGTGTATGTTCTCCCCTCCCCCTAGTGCTAGCTTAGGTTTTTTTTGTGTTGTTTGCCTAGCCCTCGTGGTTTTTGTTCAGTCTGGTTTGTAAGGTTAAGGTTGCTTGCTCGTGCGCTGCGCTGTTGAGGCTTTCATTTTAGCTGAGGGGTTGACAAACTGTGCATTAGCTCGCGCACAGTTTGTTGTCTGTTGTGTAGTGATTTTTTTAGATAATATTAAATTTTGCTATGCTGTTTAGGCCACCGGAGCAGTAGGAGTCGTCACTGGTGCTTGGCTGGCTCTCTGTCTGGGCTGCCTAGTGCAGCAGTTGTCTACCTGGACGAATCTTCAACCTCAGGTGTGTATGTTCTCCCCTCCCCCTTGTGCTAGCTTAGGTGTTTTTTGCTTTGTTTGCCTAGCCCTCGTGGTTTTTGCTTAGTCTGGTTTGTAAGGTTAAGGTTGCTTGCTCGTGCGCTGCGCTGTTGAGGCTTTCATTTTAGCTGAGGGGTTGACAAACTGTGCATTAGCTCGCGCACAGTTTGTTGTCTGTTGTGTAGTGATTTTTTTAGATAATATTAAATTTTGCTATGTTGTTTAGGCCACCGGAGCAGTAGGAGTCGTCACTGGTGCTTGGCTGGTTCTCTGTCTGGGCTGCCTAGTGCAGCAGTTGTCTGCCTGGACCGACTCTTCAACCTCAGGTGTGTATGTTCTCCCCTCCCCCTAGTGCTAGCTTAGTTGTTTTTTGCGTTGTTTGCCTAGCCCTAGTGGTTTTTGCTTAGTCTGGTTTGTAAGGTTAAGGTTGCTTGCTCGTGCGCTGAGCTGTTGAGGCTTTCATTTTAGCTGAGGGGTTGACAAACTGTGCATTTGCTCGCGCACAGTTTGTTGTCTGTTGTGTAGTGATTTTTTTATATAATAATAAATTTTGCTATGCTGTTTAGGCCACCGGAGCAGTTGAAGTCGTCACTGCTGCTTGGCTGGTTCTCTGTCTGGGCTACCTAGTGCAGCAGTTGTCTGCATGGACCGACTCTTCAACCTCAGGTGTGTATGTTCTCCCCTCTCCCTAGTGCTAGCTTAGGTGTTTTTTGCGTTGTTTGCCTAGCCCTCGTGGTTTTTGCTTAGTCTGGTTTGTAAGGTTAAGGTTGCTTGCTCGTGCGCTGCGCTGTTGAGGCTTTCATTTTAGCTGAGGGATTGACAAACTGTGCATTTGCTCGCGCACATTTTGTTGTCTGTTGTGTAGTGATTTTTTTATATAATAATAAATTTTGCTATGCTGTTTAGGCCACCGGAGCAGTTGAAGTCGTCACTGCTGCTTGGCTGGTTCTCTGTCTGGGCTGCCTAGTGCAGCAGTTGTCTGCCTGGACCGACTCTTCAACCTCAGGTGTGTATGTTCTCCCCTCCCCCTAGTGCTAGCTTAGGTGTTTTTTGCGTTGTTTGCCTAGCCCTAGTGGTTTCTGCTTAGTCTGGTTTGTAAGGTTAAGGTTGCTTGCGCGTGCGTTGCGCTATTGAGGCTTTCATTTTAGCTGAGGGGTTGACAAACTGTGCACTTGCTCGCGCACAGTTTGTTGTCTCTTGTGTAGTGATTCTTTTATATAATATTAAATTTTGCTATGCTGTTTAGGCCACCGGAGCAGTAGGAGTCGTCACTGCTGCTTGGCTGGTTCTCTGTCTGGGCTGCCTAGTGCAGCAGTTGTCTGCCTGGTCCGACTCTTCAAGCTCAGGTGTGTATGTTCTCCCCTCCCCCTAGTGCTAGCTTAGGTGTTTTTTGCGTTGTTTGCCTAGCCCTAGTGGTTTTTGCTTAGTCTGGTTTGTAAGGTTAAGGTTGCTTGCTCGTGCGCTGCGCTGTTGAGGCTTTCATTCTAGCTGAGGGGTTGACAAACTGTGCATTTGCTCGCGCACAGTTTGTTGTCTGTTGTGTAGTGATTTTTTTATATAATATTAAATTTTGCTATGCTGTTTAGGCCACCGGAGCAGTAGGAGTCGTCACTGCTGCTTGGCTGGTTCTCTGTCTGGGCTGCCTAGTGCAGCAGTTGTCTGCCTGGACCGACTCTTCAACCTCAGGTGTGTATGTTCTCCCCTCCCCCTAGTGCTAGCTTAGGTGTTTTTTGCGTTGTTTGCCTAGCCCTAGTGGTTTCTGCTTAGTCTGGTTTGTAAGGTTAAGGTTGCTTGCTCGTGCGCTGCGCTGTTGAGGCTTTCATTTTAGCTGAGGGGTTGACAAACTGTGCATTTGCTCGCGCACAGTTTGTTGTCTGTTGTGTAGTGATTTTTTTATATAATATTAAATTTTGCTGTGCTGTTTAGGCCACCGGAGCAGTTGGAGTCGTCACTGGTGCTTGGCTGGTTCTCTGTCTGGGCTGCCATTGCAGCAGTTGTCTGCCTGGACCGACTTTTCAACCTCAGGTGTGTATGTTCTCCCCTCCCCCTAGTGCTAGCTTAGGTGTTTTTTGCGTTGTTTGCCTAGCCCTAGTGGTTTCTGCTTAGTCTGGTTTGTAAGGTTAAGGTTGCTTGCTCGTGCGCTGCGCTGTTGAGGCTTTCATTTTAGCTGAGGGGTTGACAAACTGTGCATTTGCTCGCGCACAGTTTGTTGTCTGTTGTGTAGTGATTTTTTTATATAATATTAAATTTTGCTATGCTGTTTAGGCCACCGGAGCAGTTGGAGTCGTCACTGGTGCTTGGCTGGTTCTCTGTCTGGGCTGCCATTGCAGCAGTTGTCTGCCTGGACCGACTCTTCAACCTCAGGTGTGTATGTTCTCCCCTCCCCCTAGTGCTAGCTTAGGTGTTTTTTGCGTTGTTTGCCTAGCCCTAGTGGTTTCTGCTTAGCCTGGTGTGTAAGATTAAGGTTGCTTGCTCGTTCGCTGCGCTGTTGAGGCTTTCATTTTAGCTGAGGGGTTGACAAACTGTGCATTTGCTCGCGCACAGTTTGTTGTCTGTTGTGTAGTGTTTTTTTTTAAATTATATTAAATTTTGCTATGCTGTTTAGGCCACCGGAGCAGTTGGAGTCGTCACTGGTGCTCGGCTGGTTCTCTGTCTGATCTGTCCAGGGCAACAAATGAGTCTCAGTGAAACAAATGAATGTCATATTTGAAAAAGAAGGAACAGAAATATTAACAATATAACAATTTTTCGAGCAATATAACTCAAAATCTGACTTATAGGCTTTTTTCCAATTTCCACCCCCCTGTTTTCTCAAGTTCAATACTTTTAAATTTTTAAAAACGACTTCTAATGTTATAAACTTCGTTGGGGGTTGGGAAATTGGAAAAGAGCCCAATTATGTGGTTCATTTTCTTGTTCTTCAACATCTAGCAAGTGTTTTAGTTAAAATATTGAAAATAAAACATTTCAATAAATCTTTTAAACAGCTTGTTTTTTTGCCTTGTTTGCAAAAAAATTGATCAAAACTGTTTTTAGACCCTTGAATCGATCTGCCCCGGAGTCTTTTTGAAGTTTTAGTGAGTGGAAATCTATCCAACAAAAACTTGGAAACCAGATCTGAGCATCGTAAAATCTTGCCTATTTCAGATCTTGTCCAGACATGGTGCATGTTTCGTTTGGACATGGACATGTCTGAATCAGGACTGAGGCAGGCATGGATTCCATCACAAAAGCAGATCTGCTCAAGGCCTGATTCAGACCTGGGGCACACATGGGTCAGACCTGCTGCAGATCTGCACCAGGTCTGACCCATGTGTGCCCCAGGTCTGAATCAGGCCTTGAGCAGATCTGCTTTTGTGATGGAATCCATGCCTGCCTCAGTCCTGATTCAGACATGTCCATGTCCAAACGAAACATGCACCATGTCTGGACAAGATCTGAAATAGGCAAGATTTTACGATGCTCAGATCTGGTTTCCAAGTTTTTGTAAGGTACGGGAAGAGAAATATTTTTATCCTGGTAATTTCTTCCCAGACTCGATAAAAAGTGAAATTCAACCTTGATCTTCATAGGCGTGGATTTGCACAAATGGAAATCACTACGCCAAGAAATCCAGAAACGACTGGTCAAATCCAACTTCCCCAAAGTAGGCGACAAAATATACGCCAAATACTTCCAGCACCAGTACTTTCCAGCCAGGGTCGACTCTCTGGACGTTGCCCATCAGACATTCAACATCACGTGGGACGATAACGATACGGAAGGGAGGGTCGTGGCTGTGACTGACGTAGCCCTGGATAAAGTGCCTGGGAGGGCTGAGATAGGAGTGGGCAGTAATGTGTTGTTCGAGCAGGGCTCTTACGGAGCGAGTGGGGACCGGTCGGGAGGCATGCGGTAATGTTTCCAAAAAACTTTTTAAAAAAACTTTTCGAATTGATCATACTATAGAAGGTCCTGATAAATTATTTTTCCCTACTTTCTTACCTAATTACTAAATTGGTTAGCAAATTGCTCTTGATTTGCTCTTTGAGTGATAAATTTCAACTGATCTGGAATATTGTGCAACTTGAATCTATTTTAAGTTTTCAGGATCCAATGCACAAGCAAACAACCCCCCTCCATCACCCATCCCTACCCCCTCCCCCCATCCCAAGCACTAAGTTAACATCTCCGAGTCGCATCTTTGCTTTAAACTTGCGTAAAAATCAGCGTGCAAACTATTAACTCCTGATCGAAACTTGTTGAAGTTTTCAATTGAAAGGAATATTGAAGTGGCCTCTTGTGAAGTTGATAAAGAATCTGTATTATCTTTCGAGCTGAAAGTTTAAGTTTTACAGATCATGTTATATGTAACCGTTTTGAGAGCGGTTTTTCTCACAACACAAAGATTGGCGGGCCCTAATGATAAGGCTATGATCTGCGATGATAAAACTTGATAACGTTAAAATGAGAAAGATCACAAAAATCAATCTTTTCATAGGTTAATTATTTAATCAATTTACTAGTGTACATCACAACTTAAAATTGATTTGGCAGTGTCCCCCTACACACTCAAAAAATTTGCTCGGCAATGTGTTTCACTTGCAACTGCTTACTATTATTTAAATTTTCAGTGATATTTTATAATTTTTTATTGATCAGGTGGCACATGGGAAGAATCACCAACATGACTCAGAGACCAGACGGGTCTTATGTCTACGATGGGGAGCACGTGTTCTCTGAGAAGCATGGAAAATGGGTCACTTATCGAGGATACGAGCGGGAATTCAGGGATCTCACTTTAGACCAATTTCGGGTATCCCCCAACGCTCTCGACTCGTTCGGCGTTGACGGCGAAGATTCCTCTTCGGGTATAGAATCGCACGAATGCGACGTATTCGTTTGCTACTCGGACGCAAATACCCGACAAAACTCGAGTAAGGACTTGAACCCGCTCAGAATTATAAGCGACATGGAAGATATTCTAGGCGTCAAGACAAATGTAAAAATTCGAAACCCTTCGCTCGCTGAGGTTGCGGTTATGATTCAAAAATGCAAAGTATTTGTTGCTTTTATTTCAAATGAGTTTGCAAAAGACGAGCGATGTCAGCAGCAGTTTCAGTTTGCGAAAAAGTCAAAAGGGGTGCCTGTTATTCCGGTTGTTGTCGGCCAGGGTTTCGACTGGACTCGAACCGTCGTAGGGTTGCTGATCGCCGGAGAGTTGTACATTCATTTCAAAGAAGAATCAGTCTATGATCAGAAAATGCAGGAGCTAAAAAACTCCATGAAGCGTTCCTTGGAACCAGAAAAAGAAGAAGACAACGCGGCAAATGCCACTGAGAAAGTTAAATGCAAAGCGTTTATAAGCTATTGCTGGCTTAATTCTAATATGTCTAAGAACGCAAACGAAATCCCGTTCGTTAAAGGAAACGAATTGTGTGATCCGAGGCGAATCAAATACGACGTCGAAAAACGACTCGCAGGCGAGGGCGAAAAACTCTGGCTTGATATCGAGCAACTCGGAACTTCAAACCAAAGTGACCGAAACGCGAGTATGTTCGAGCAAATCGCGATGGGTTTGGCAAACACTAGAGTTATACTAACTTTCATAAGCACCGAGTATAGTAAAAGTGAGAATTGTAACATGGAGTTTAACCATGCGGTAAAAACAATGAAAATACCGACTATTCCGATTATCGTGGGCGAAAAAGATTCGGACGATTGGGTTCGAAGGCAAGTCGGAATGATGTTGGGTCAAATCGAAGCGCGAGACGAAAACAGCGAGCGAATTGATCTTCGAACTATTATAGATAAAAGCGAATATAATGAGAAAATTGAGGAAATTTACCAGCGAGTTTGTAAGTTCCTCGAAATGGAACCCGAAGAATCCAGTGCTCCGGAAGCCGAAGCCGCGAAAGAGCCGACAAGCGATCGGGTTCCAAAGATCGGAGATCACGTGATCTCTCACTGGAATGGGGGTCAGTTTTTCTTTTCGACTATCGTGTCATATGACAGAGAGACGATGTGCTTTACTGTCGATTGGGACGATGGCGACACGACTGGACGAGTCGTGAAGTACAACGAAACTGCGAAAGATGTCGTGGTCGACGAGTCTGACGTCGCGATAGGAACTAAAGTTCTATTCCCTCAAGGTTCGTATAAGTTGTTCTGAATCTTTACATTATAGTTTTATTACGTTATTTCCTTTTGGTTAAGGACCTGAAAAAAAAGGAAAACGGCAAAGAAGAGACTCCTTGACGGCTAATGATCCCAATGAACTTTTTTACAATCATTGGGCCATCTATTGCTACATCTTCTAAAGAAACACCTAGAAAACGTTTTGAAGAAACTCAAACTATGGCCCATATAAAAATCAAACATAAATAAATATGGCATGTCAAATTATTTAGGCACAATTGCCAAACCAGTTTTTATGTCAACCTGCATGTGCCGTCTTGAAAGAAGTTTTGACAACTTCAACAGATCCAGCCACTCTAAAATATCAAAAGTTATCCCTAGTCCTAAAGAAGGCACTAAAGCAACTTGTTCTAATTACCGTCCTAATTCGGGTTCACTTATTCTAGGCAAAGTTTTCGAAAAAAAAGTATTAAAAAAACTGTTAAATTTTCGCACAAAAATTTAGCCATTACAGTTAAACAAATTGTATATCAAATTAAAAACTCTATGGCTGATGCAATTGTTGAAATGTTTGAGGATCTTTTAGATTGAAAAAATAGGCAGGAGCAGGCACATTGTCCTCTATTAGATTTATCAAAAGCCTTTATTACAGTCAATCACGCCACTCCACTACAAAAGTGTTACAAATAAAGCTTGTGAGGTAATGTCTTTGTCTGAATGAAAACAATTACTATTTTTAGACAATCCAGATTCCACTATGAAAGGTTTGAAGTGCCTCAGGATATTACGGTTTTTTCTTCATTTTAATGGATTGTCTAAAATTTTCAGAAGATCTGAGCATACAAATGATTGCGCTAACTGTGTCATCTCTCAACGTGAATCAGAAAACTCTTTAAATGAGGAGAACAGAATGAAATGTTTACAAGTAAAGTACGCTTAACAGCTACAAATAAAAAAGATATGAACTAGAGTCAGAAAACTCTACAACCAAATGCAAAATTTGATCCATTGATACTACATTTTTTAATCAACGTTGGGAAATCGAAGATTGTTCTATATATTCATATTAAAAATGATAACAATTCAAAAGACTGAGATTTTTTAGAGGTTGTTTTGGTGAATTGTTCACCTAAAAACAAAATAAAGTTTAGTTACTTTGTGTATTTTTGACAGTTCTTCCTCTTGACTTTTTGTTGTTTGTTTTTTTTTCGACAATTTTCCCCTTTGAAAAGAAAAACTAGCATAAATAAATTCGCTGACAATTAGTAACTAGGACAAAATTAAGGAATGCTCTCAAACGGCACTTTCTTAACAGGCTCTCAAACCTTCAACGTCCATCAAAGTTCGGTGACCGGCAAATGATGGATGATACTAAATTATGCTTAAAATAAACCGTCATTAATAAGTGTAATAATTACTTAATTTCAACTTCAGGACAATACAAACTGAATACAGAAGACGAAGGCTACTCTGGGTTCCGTTACTTCGAAGGAGAGATCACCGAAATGCAAGATCAGGGTGGAAGAACTCTGTATTCGGGACACCATTCCAGGTACGACAAAGGTCAAGTGCCGAGGTTTCGAGGGGTCAAATATGAGTTTGAAGATATTCCGATTGAGAAATTGAGACTGGCGCCGAATGCATTCGAGGTGCTCAATATTTAATCTTTTTGCCCGCCAATTAAACTGTATTATCACGAAAACTGTATGTTCAGAAAGTTGCACGTTCTAAACAGCTTTTACTATTTTACTGATTTAATCAAATTCTCACAAAAAAGTGGACTATAAATGACTTCTGTACCTTCTGTACTCTTCAGATAGTTTTGAGTTACGACATCTTTTGGTATAACGTTACAAATGTAGGTTTTGTTCGAAAACTTTGGGTCTTGCCAGCGCATTTGTTAGTTCCTCGAAATGGAACCAGAAGAGTCCAGTTTATCGGTAGCCGAAGCTGCAAATGAGCCGACAAATGATTGAGTTGAAAAAGGAAAATTACGCTAGGCTTAAGAAAATTATATAAAAAACTGTTCAGAAAAACAGCAGCTCTGCAAAAAACTTTGGTCTGCTTCTTTCCGATCTGCAAAACAAAATTTCAATCGTGATTTACTTCTGAATGTCGCAAACAGTGTACTCAATAATAATTCACAGAAAAAAATATAAGAACATCTCATGAAACTCCAAATTAAACTCCAAAAATCACGATGACTTATTTTACCATCTAACTGATATTTTTCAGAATTTTTCAACATGTCTCCTTCATAGCTGTGCTATACTTCCGCCGAATTTCAATTCATTATTTGATGAAACCCTGCTGCATGAAATTTTCACTTTGCTTCATAAAATTTTTTGCGCTCAAGGAGTAACTATTTAAATATGACGCCACAAAAATAACGTGTCAAAAAATTGGTAGAAATTATTAATGAAATAGGAAGAGAGCAAACCTTTTTCATAGTATCTAAATCAGTTCATCTTTCGAGTCCAGTTTCATTCTAGTTGTTGCTATTTAATTTATCTATCTGTCTGGCGCTAACTAGTATTTAACCTTCGCAGTTGTGTGTCACCTTTGGTTGACCGCCATTTAGTTGTCTCCGACTAACTTTCTACATTACGGTTACTCAACTTATTGAATCAATTTAACTAATCGAAACCGCATTTTCTCATGGCGCAGCCAACAGGCCAAAATGGGGGGAAAACCCACTGAGGATTTCATCGTTTTGGCCCTCAACGTTCGCAGAGCCACCAATGCTATGGGAGTTTTGTTTTAACCGATTTCGAAGGGGGATGGTGGCTAAACACAGTATCAATCCGAGAAATTTTTACTATGCCAGTACGTTAACAGCAGCGCAGGATACGGCAATACCGGAGGAGGTAGACGGGAAAGATCGAATGACGTCGGAGCAAACTCTAATCTCCTCATTGTACTTGTGTCTGGGGGAGAAAGGCCAAAATGAATTGCATAAGAGGAGGCCACATCTAGATCTATCTACAACCCGGTATTCTAGGGTATTGGATACCATAGAAACGGAGTTTAAGAAAGAGCGGAATCAAACCTATGAAACATTCCAATTATTGGCACAAAAACAACACATTGGAGAATCCTTGGAACAGTTCCATTCAGTTTTAAGCGGAATGGCCGCCCGATGCAATTTTGGAACGCTGGAGACCAGAATTTTGCGGGATGTTTTCAATGTGAACATGAATAAAAGAGAGGCACAGAACGAGCTATGCCGTTCAACAAAGACACCAGAGGAGGTGTACCGTATTGTGTTGTCATATGAACGTGGATATAAGTATGCTAAATCATATGGATTGGCAACCGGGGGAGCAACAACCAGCGGCACCACCGGTGTTACTGGAGCGTTTCAAACAAAAACGGAACCGGTGGGGACAATCCGAGGAGGATATCAAAATAATAGACAGCGCGGGCGTGTATCGTTCAGGGGACGAGCACACATAAGAGGAGGAGCATCTAAAAGGTGTTATAATTGTTCTAGATGCCCAGCCAAAAATGCGACTTGTAATTTCTGCCGAAAGACGGGACATTACGAGGAAATTTGTCGGGGAAAGCGGACAAACCGGGGAAGACCTGCGGTGGGACTATTTCAAAACCAGGAGGATGTGGATGCCAGTGAGATAGGAGACGCTGAGGATACCTATTCGCAACATGAAAATTCAGTCGGATGGGTTAACACACCGGAAAAGAGGCAACGATCGTGGGATTCAGTCATCTCAGGAGACTATGTTGTAATGGCTATCAAATCTCGGAGGGAAGCTGAATTGAAAGTGTCCGGCGCTCGACTATCAATTAAGATAAATGGTAAGCAAACGAACGTCTGGATAGATAGCGGATCACCGATCTCAATATTCACAGTTGGAGAGCTGAAACGTACGTTGGACACCGCAAGCGTAAGCGTGAACGCGCCAGCACCGAAGGACGACGAGTTCAGGGATTACGGAAACAATCCTTTACGGCTGCTACGAAAGATGAACGTATCATTGGAGATAAACGGATGGGTGACTGACGCGAACATGAAAGTAATAGGAGGCAACACACCGTCGATTATTGGGAGAGATCTAATGCCGAATCTGGGATTGCAGACAGTGCAAAGAACACCGGAGGAGAAGGTGATGTCAGTACAAGGAGAACAACCGGGGGCCGAAACAACAGGAGAGGAGGATCCATTAGATCCCTGGCAGACTTATTTCAGTAAGCAATTTAACAATCTTTTTCATAGAGTCGGAAAAATTGAAAATTTTAAGGTACACGCGGAATTTTTCGAAACGCTAATTACCGATTCAACAAAAAGGACGGAGAGTACCGATCACATTGCAAGATAAGGTTGATAAGGAAATTAGTAAACTTTTGTAGCAAGGGCATATAAAAAAACTGGAAGACTGTTCGGATATGTACTTTGTCTCTCCAATTGTAATAAAAGTGAAAAAGATGGATCAGTAAAATTAGCGCTAGAATCCAGGGAGCTGAACAAACAAGTCCACAAGAATAAATATCAAATGCCTAATATTGAAGAGCTCATGGATGTTGTAGGACAAACGATAAGCGAACGAAAACCAGGGGATGTATACTTTTCTACAATGGACCTTACGTATGCGTACGGTCAACTATCACTTAGTCCAAAAACGAGCGTCCAGTGCAATTTTTCGCTAGTGGGAGGAAAATCAACGGGCACGTATCGTTTTCGAACGGGGCTCTACGGCCTCACAACCATGCCAGCGGAAATCCAAAGAGTAATGGATACAATCCTTTCGAAATTTCCACAGGCACACGCATTCGTTGATGACATCTTGGTTGTCACCAAAGGCACGGAAGTTGAGCATATCTCGGCGGTCGAGAAAAATTTGCGGAAGTTAGATCGAGAAAATATGTCGCTTAAATTTACTAAATGTCAATTTGCGCGGAAAGAATGTGAATGGTTGGAGTATAAAATAACTTGCACCGGAATTACGCCGCTAATCCGAAAAACGGAACCGATCGAGTCTCTAAAAGCACCTGAAACGGTGTCGCATTTAAAATCCTTTATGGGCTCCAATCATAGCCTACACAAATACCTCCCAGCACTCGCGGAATCGTCACCATTTATTAAGCAGAAAAAATGAATATATTTGGACTAGTGAGTGTCAAATATCATTCGAGAATCTAAGAAAGCAGGTGGCAAACATAGTGGAACTTGGGCATTTTGATATACACCGCGACACAAGAATTGTCTGTGACGCTAGTCATAACGGGCTCGGTGCGGTTCTTGAACAACTAAATTCCGACGGTTGGAGGCCGATATCCTTCGCATCCCAGTATTTAAACGAGGCGGAGAAAAATCATTCTACAAACGAATTAGAGATGCTTGCAGTTGTGTGGGGGGCGGAGTATTTCCGAAACTATGTGTTGAGGAGAAAATTTTTAATCGTTACGGACCATAAAGCTCTTGTGTCGTTGCTAAATGGGAACAAGAAAAAGAACAAGACGATGTTTAGCAGATTAACCAGATGTTTAGATCGTCTAATACCGTTTGATTTTCAAGTGGAGCACAAAACCGGAGCAAAAATTGGTTTCGCAGATTATCTATCGAGGCACCCAAGTTCGGACGCTAAACCGGTCAGCACATATGATAGTATGTTTACGGTGGCGAAAATTAGTCAAATTAGATCCGCCCTCGGATTTGAAAAGGAAATTTTTCCATAGGTAGACTCGAGTCTCCAAAGGCTAATATATATAAACGCGTTTGTAATATATCGAATATCAAACAGCCGGTAGAGGGCGAAGGATCATGGGGTGGAAATTGGACCTATCACAGAGCGACAAATTGCATTTCCGGCAGATCAGTTAAGCCTAGTGAAAACTTAATTGGGACTATTATTGAGACAAATTTTGTTTACTCAAACTCAAGTACAAACATTCAACATTCAAAATCTAATTTATTTATGGAACGGAAGATCGGAAAATTATTGGAACGACACCCCAGCATTAGTAGTAGCGATGAAATAGAGGAGATCGACCAGGATATGCAAGCAGTCACCACAGAAGTCCGGATCACTAAGAGTAACACCATTATTTCCATTCCTTCGGTTTATCCAGGCGAAAGTTATCCACCGGTTAATCCAGAAAATCGCGTTATGTCGGTTATTCCGAGAAATTGCAAAATGGTTAGTAAACAAACCGCCCTTCCAGAACTGTTTAATCTTCGATTTATCGAATCGCATTATAATTCAGATCCTCAACTCCAAGCAATCATTGAAATGATTCAGTGCAAAGACCAACATTTACACACAAAAATTGCAGCTATGAGTAAATATTATGCCCAGTAGTGAAAGACGGAGGCTTATGTATGGATGAGAGACTAGTCATTCCACACACTTTGCAAGCGGCTGTGAATAACAGATTCCACTATTATCACCATGGGAAATCGAGTATGTATGACGCGGCCAAAGACATCTGGTACCCGTACATGTTCCGCAGCTTAGCGACAATCGCAGGAAATTGTCAAAAATGCACATCAGCTGGTAAGAATTTGAAAAACATGTGTTCGAAAGGGGATGTAGGGAAAATACCTGAGCCCAAAGAACCGAATGAATCGGTGCAATTAGACTTTTGGAGGCCAATTAATTATTTAAAGGAATCCAAAAAGAATGTTCTGGTGGCCGTGGATCGGTTTTCTCGTTGGCCATCGGCTATGGTGTGTAATTCAAATCGGTCGGACAAAATCGTAAAAATTTTAAAAGCATACATTATTGCCCACGGAGTTGCGCGACAAATCCGAGTTGACAAGGGAACGCACTTTA